AATAGAAATTAAAACTACAATGAGATACCACTACACAGCTATTAAAAAAGCTAAAATTAAAATGACTGCACAGCACATGTTGGCAAGGGTATAGGGCAATTGAGCACCCATCCCTGCTGATGATGGCTGACTGTCAAATGGTACAACCACTTTGGAAAATGAGTGGGCATTTCACAAAGTTAATCACATGCCGACCATACAATCCAGACACTGCACTCCTAGCTATTTACCCAAGAGAAACGCAAGCACATGTCCAACGCAAGTACATGTCCACATAGAGACTTACACAAATGATCACAGTAACTTTATGTGCAGTAGCCAAAACCTGGCAATAACTTAAATGTCTATCAACTTGGTAGGTGAGTAAACCAACTGTGGTCTACCGATTCAATAATCTACTTCCCAGCAATAAAAAGATCATCTACTGATACAGTAAACAAAAAAATAGTTATGCCAGACCAAAAAAAGTAATAATGCATAGTTATTCCGTTGAAATAAAATTTCTAGAAGAAGCAAACTTATCACAGTGATAGAAAGCAGATCAGTGGTTGTCTGGGGTGGGGGTGATAGGTATGTTTCTTATCTCAACTGTGGCAGTTTCAGGGATGTATGTCAAAACTTACCAAATGTACATTTAAGACATGCAGTACAAAGTTATAAAATCAGACGTGGGTGACACCCTCGATGTTTCCTTCACCCCTCGCCCAACCCATCTGCCCCATGACATCTACATGAATCATGAGTTTCAGTCCCATTTATGATTTTATACTTTCATCATGTACCTCGGAATCCATAAAAAAAAATACTTCAGTTTTACATATGCCCAAATGTTATACACCTGGTATCATCTTGCACATATTTGGAAATATACTTTAATCAACATTATGATTGCAAAATTTATTCTTGTGGAAAAATAGGCCTAGCTTACTTTAACATTGTGAATGTAACACAGTGTATTCACAGTGTGAATGTAACACAGTGTATTGACCCTGATGACAAATGTTATGTGTTTTTTAACTGGCAATTTCAGTTACATTAAATATAAAAATAGCACTTGAATCAGACACACTGAGATATGCACATTATGTATATTTTGATACAAAAACAGTCTAGAAATTTAACTTAACACTGTAGCTTCAGTATTCAAATTAAAATAAAATACTCATCAGTGTCTGCCGTGTACTAGATATTTTGGACATAAGATTTAAAGATGTGAACTTCGCTCACAGGGGTCTATTTATGTCATCCTCTGCAGCGCCACAACTAATCTGATAACAGGCTGACTATATTCTGATCACAGTTATTAAAGATGTACCTATCTCTTTCTGTCCAAAAGTACAGTCGTACTTTTGGCAGGAGGTAGGTGCCAATACCTCCTGAAACTTCTTCAGGACTCCAGTATCGTAAGACATAGGTGTCTACACCTCTGAAACCTCTGTGGGTCTCCAACGTCGTGACAGGTTGGTGTCTACAGCTCCTGAAACCTCTGAGGGTCTCTGATGTAACACTGAAACATTCATTTGATGTTGCCAAATTTCAAAGAAACAACTTCATTCACAATATGCTTTTAAGGAAAAATGCAATAATATTTCATGAAAACATAAGCAGGAAGTTGAAATTTGGAAGAAACTCTTTTAGTGTCAAAACTAGTTAAAATGTATTTTATAGCCAGGCACAGTGGATCATGCCCGTAATCCCAGCGCTTTGGGAGGCCAAAGTGGGAGGATCACTTGAGGTCAGGAGTTTGACATTAGCCTGGGCGATACAGTAAGATCCTGTCTCTGCAAAAATTAAAAATTGGTGTGCATCTGTAGTCCCAGATACACGGGAGGCTGAAGTGGGAGGACTGCTTAAGCCCAGGAATTTGAAGCTGTAGTCAGCTGCAATCTTGTCACTGCACTCCAGCCTGGGTCACAGAGCAAGAGCCTTCTCTTTACAAAAACAAAAAAACCCCCAAAACTCACAGATCATTTACCAGCAACTCAACTACACGTTTTTACTAAATAGTGAAAAACAAATCACCACACATTAAATAGCACAGTGTTGGAACCGATTATTTTATTCCAATGATATTTGGTTTATAATGAAATTTTGGACATTAAGAGACTTATGACAAAAAAAATCAGAATTTCATATCTTATATTTTGCTAACATGGTAATGTGTAATAAAAATCACCAACATGCACTGCAAGTTCATTGATGCATGTTGTGCAATAGAAATTTGTTTGACCTGGTGTTTTTCTATTTGAGCAGACAATGCAGTTTTGTTTTCTTCCTCCCACATTAATAACATATAATTTACTGTCCAGTTTGTTGTTCGAAGACCACGTGGAAAGACGCATTCGTGATTTCTTAAAAGCACTTCTCAACGGATCTATCAGAAGCTTGACAAATTTCAAATGGGACATATATTTTTTGTTGGTTTTGTTGCTGATGCTCAGCACAGTATATGAGTTAAAAACACATATTTCTACTTCCCAGAAGAAAAATTTCCTCCACCATTTTCAAGTTTTTCACAAAAAACAATATGTAGAAGCATATCAATCTGCACGATCCACACTGCTCATATTTGCAATATCCACTACACAATGTCCTTGTGGTAGGTTTCATTCCTGCGTGATTTCAAGTGCCAAGAATTGTAACGATCCTTTTGTCCTTCCATGCAAGAAGAGCAAGATTACTTTTTCTATGTGCTACTGTTTTTTTCGTTAAGAACTTTGGATTTTTGTTTTGTGCTGGTATTCCCTTTCGGTTCACTTTGTACCAGTAAGATGACATTTCATTCTTAGTAGCTCTTCTGCTAGGACAATACTAGTATAATATTTATGAGTAAACATGTGGTATATCTTACTGTACTGGGAACTTATTCCAACAACTTTTTATAAAAATGTAATAGAATTCTGGTGCTTACTAAAAGATCAGGTCGAATGATGCTTTCAGAGGTTATGCTGCCATAATAGGGAAGTATTGAACAAAGATATCCTGTTTTTTAATCAGCTAGTCCATAAATGCATATACCCCCCCCCTTTGGTAGGCTTATTTGAATTGCAAGTTATAAATGATATTTGCCCTTTAAATTGAACAATGAAGACATCAACACAAATTGCCTGATCTGGTATGGAATACTGGGAAAATTTTTAATCAGTGTATTCCAAATAATTATTGGTCTTTTGAATATGAGTTCTGATCGTCCCATCACTTGGCGCAGTGTCTTCAAATGAAGCGCCCAGAGGATCTGCATAAACCTTTCTCTATTAAATGTTTCTGAAGAGAAGAGTATTTTACTATTTTTTTTTTTTAATTGGAGTCTCACTCTGTCGCCCAGACTGGATTGCAGTGGCCGCTCCCGGCCACTGCAGCCTCGACCTGCTGAGCTCTGGGGATCCTTCCGCCTCAGCCTTGCAAGTAGCTGGCACTACAGGCACGCACTACCACGCCCAGCTCATTTTGATTTATTGTAGAGATGAGGTCTCGCCAAGTTGCCCAGGCGGGTCTTGAACCCGCGGGCTCAGGCAATCCACTCACCTCAGCCTCCCAAAGGTGCGGGATTACAGGCTGAGCCACCGAGCCCGGCTGAGTATTTTACTATTAAAAGAAGTTGACCAGTACTCTTGCAAATGTGGTACTTGAATTATTCCCATATTTAGGATAACTGCAATACAAGCTAAAAAATCCTTTCAGTCAACGTCATGTCACTGATGCCAAATCAATATGTGTAACAGCTGCTTTTTCCTTATTTTTTTCATCTGCATAATGATTTGTTTCTTTTATTACACTATCCACTAATTCATGCATAAAATACAGAGTAAAACAATCAATTGGTTCTCTTATATGATTTCCTATTTGTGGTCTTGTTGTTTGAAGATGCACAGCAGAATTTATTCTCACTGGAGGATTGTCTTTTTCTCTAACACATTCCCATTTTCACTTGATGATAAGCTGTCTTCTACTTCTTTGAAGCCACTCACATTTTTATTGTTGTCACTTTCTATCACATTCGTTTGTTTTCTTCTTAGAGGGATGATATCACTGTCCCTAATGTTTTCTTCCACATCAGTGTTTATTTTTTCTAACCTGTCTGTACAAAAGTCTAAATCTAACTCATCTTCACTGCTGCTTATATTGTAACTCTCACTTTTGTCTTTTCACTTTGCTACTTGTCTGTAAACTAAATGAATAAAAAATTTCTAATCATTTTGAAATCACAAAATGAAATTTATCAAAAGGATATTACTCTTCCAACTTAGTGCAGATGGATATATTTGATCTGTGCCACTCAATACTTCAATACTCTCTGCCTTCAACTTCGAAAGTCTCTTTCTTTCAAGACTACAGTAACTTGCTTATCCACCTTTTCAAGTTATGCCATAGGACACAAAGGGCATACCCACAGCTGCCTTTCTCATACAAATGTTCTCTATCACTACCTTCTGTTGCAAAGAAATGTTGGCACCACTGCGAAAGCACTTCGCAGATTCTCTTTCTATGTAATGTCAGCTGATATTTTTAATGTATATCTCAGTATATATTTGCTTTTTTGAGCAATCTGAATGGAAAACTTCAAGGAAACATATTTTTGAAAAATTTGTCACTGCCTGTTTGTCTTGTATAATCACCAGCAATCTCTCTATGTCCCCTGGGAGGAGACATCTGAGTGCAAAGGGTTAACCATAAATACAGTTACTTAGTTTTTCATTACTGCAACAATTGTCTTTGAACTCTCCATTAAAAAGATTCCCCTTCTACTGCAAATTATCTACAACCTGTCTGACATTTCAGGATGGACTTAATCAGTACTCCAAGGGACTATCAGGTACTACTCCTGAGTTATTGGTGAATTACTGGGACAGGCCAAAAAGAAATGGAAAGCCAGAAGGAATCAGAGTTGCCATCAAGTACTTTAACATTTGATTGCTGTCAGTTTTAAAGGTTCACATTGATAGGGCCAATATTCTAAAGTATTGACAAGTAGTATTCATTTTAAAGTGTCATTTACTTACATCTTAGCACTTCAACAATCAAGTCCACATCAGTACTGAGCTTCTTGATATGGTCGAGGTTAGCTACCGTTGTAATTGGCACATACTGATCACTATCCATCTGTGATATAAGGTACATGTCACTAGCAAGGTTCTCCCTGTTAAAAGAAAACACTCTACTGTAATCAGTATTTCTATAAAAGGAAGTTTCATCTACAGCAATTCCAGTTCCCTAAGAGGTAGGGCTTTAGAGCAAGATCAAAGCCCCAACTCCATCTGTTATCTGCTACCTTTCTGACCTTAGTTAATTTTTTTTTTTCAAAATCTCTGCCTCTCCAAGGCACAGAGAACAAAGTATACAGCACTGTATACAATCAAAATTAATGAGCAGACCATTCTTTTAAAAACGTAATTATCTGTAGCTCTTTTTTTCCCAAAGACTGCTCAAGTTGCGTATTTTAAAAGTAAGGAAATCAAACAGAAGGAACCAGACGGGAAAATAGGAAAAGGCCAGAATAAGGGCATTTCCACAATGCGTGCCACAGAGCCTGGAACACTCAACAGAGATCCTGGCGGCCAAAATTAAAGAGAAGGAAACAGAACCTGTGACTATACCCACAGGGCCAAAAGGTAAGCGACAAATAATCAGCAGTATAGGCCAACAAGAACCATTTCCTGGTATTCTGGTCAAAGACAAATGCTCCTTGTTAACCCTCAGGAAAAGAGCATACAGAGCAGTAAACAAGACTCCTGAAACCGGTTCTCTACCCACAACACCCTGCAGTGAAGGCCCACGGCCGCCAGCCACAGAGAGGGCCTGCTCTGCCCTCGTCTTTGCCAGCCCTTGGTCGGAGTGGCAACTCTGGTCCCACGGGCTTTTCTGCTCCACTCCAGCACTTTGTGTCCGAGGTGTCCTAGTGCACAACTCAAGACGCCCAGAGTGTGATGGCATGGGCGTAAGGGGCAGCAGAGCCTCCTACTTCCACCTCACACCGCCCACAGCCTGCCAGGAGCCCCATCAGACAACTTTGTGGGTCACCACGGCTCTAGGGAAAACACCTGAAAAATCATCAGTATTGAAAGAAAAATCTCCAAACCAAGCAAAGTAAGGATCAAAGGGAGGCCAAACTTCACTTGCACAATGACCGCTTATGTACCTAATCCTGAAATGTACCCCACAGCTTTAAAATAAAATAGAAAAAAAAGAGAAAGAAAAATCGTACACAGGGTCAATCAGTTACCTTCATACTTAGAGAAAATATATTTAACCCAGTTCCATCTCCGTGTATGTTCTAGTCTGCTACTTGAACTTTAAAGTCCTACTAAGAAAAGGTATTTATTCAGGGGGAAAAAAACAACTAAAAATATGAGAGTTGCAATTGCAGCATTTGGCATATTTTCAGAAACAAGGTAGGACGCTTGTTCTCAAACTTTAGAGCGATGGAAGATTCTAGGGCCACACCCTCAGAGGCTCTGATTCAGAGGGCATGGGGTGGGCGGCCAGGTACCAATGTCAATGTCAAACAGCACTCCAAGTGATGCCATCAAGATGCAACGACAGACCCAACTCTGGGGACCACTGGCACAAGGGTTATGCTCAATTCTCCAAATGTCAAAGGATTATCATTACTCAATATTTTAGGTGTCTTATTAATATACATACATAGATTTTAATAGATATACATTTCGTCGTAAAATGTCACATTTGTATATAATAACCAATGCATAATTCCATAGATTTTAGGTAGTGGAAAAATCACTACTAGCCTTACCTAGATAAGCAGAATTCCAATGTTTTCTTAAGTACTTCCCGGGGGTCTTCCTGGTTTTCTGGTTGGGACTCATTTCCTCCTACATAAAAGTAATGATCAACTTAGGAAAAATGACCTAAAATTTATCAAGCAGATAATTCAGTACAGCAGTTCTAGTGTTTTCAATATATATATTAGCACAATTCAGTACAGCAGTTCTAGTGTTTTCAATATATATTAGCACATCTACGTAAGTGTATTGAGAATAAGAATAGTATTATTTTATGTAGCAAAAAGCAAATCTTGTACACACACACACACAAACTTGCTCTGTTTCCCCCAAAATAAAAGCAACACAGTTTAGAAAAATAATCTGAGTAAGTTTCATTAGCAAAGTTTAGTAGGAGTTTTTTAGCTCACAAAATAACAAGTATAAGCTTACTTAATGACTTGCCGTACTTCAAAAGAATTTTCAAGTAACCTACAAGAACAAAGACACTAAAAAATAATAAAATATAAAGAAAAAAAAACTAAAACAAAAAAAGATAAACACAGGTCAAAAAAAAAGCCAAGGCTGGGGATCATAAACACACAGGCCATAAGAACTGGACTATTTCTACAACAGTGGCTTAAATTTCCCTTTAAATTTCCAGGTAGTCAAAGCAACAAGTGAGAAATCGTCTTGTTACTGAATTCTTAACAAAGAACACTAAATAAAACAGATCCTCAAGAAGAAATAAAAGCTGGTTCTAAATCCTAGAAGAAATTTCTCAAGAGAAGATGCCAGAGAGCACAGTGTGTATGGTCACAGGCTGCATAGGGCCACAGACCTTGGACCTCTAGAAGATGGAACTACAGTTCAGGTGAAGGTTCGCCAGCACTCTGGATGCTGTGTGAACAGGTACTTTAATCCTCTGCAGTCAGACGTCCCCTCTGAGGGGACATCATAAATCTAGCAAACAACTTGAATGCCCCCTCTCTCAGGGGACATAAAGAAATTACTGGTGATTATACAGGACAAACTTATGTCAGTGCAAATTTATTAAAAATGTATGCTTTCTTTAAGTTTTCCATTCAAACTGCACAAAAGAGCAAATAAAGAGATGAAATATATTCTGAGACCCACGAAAAAAAATATCAGCTGGCATTATGTAGAAAGAGAATGTATGAAGTGCTTTCACAGTGGTGCACACACTGGACAATAAATTACACAATATTAATGTAGGAGGAAGAAAATGAAACTGCACTCTCTGCTCAAAAAGAAAAAAAAAAACACCAGGTAAAAGACATTAAACAAATTACTATTGCACAACATGCATCAATGAACCTGCAATGCTTCACACATTACCACGTTAGAAAAATATAAGATATAAAATTTTGATTTTTTCTTCATAAGGAAATTCACCAATGTCCAAAATTCCACTATAAGCCAAATAACACTACAATAAAATAATTGGTTCCAATATTATACTACTAAATATGAAGTGATTTGTTTTTCACTATTTCATAAAAAACTGTGGTAAAGTTGCTAGTAGGTGATCTGCGAGATGTCTCTGTATGCAAAGGGTTAAAATGTTGAGATGAAAGGTGTCGAAATGCTAACAACTAAGTTTTTCCTATGTTCTGTGTAAGTCACATGGTACATCCACACATGTGCCGTGCTAACACAAGACACACTTGCATCTCAAAAGGCAAAGACCACGAAAAGGCAAAGATAACCTGGGGCATTCAGGACAAATGATGGCAGAGCTCACGTCAGTTTCATATAACAAGCAGTCAGCCAGTTCCAAGCAAAGTACAGATGTATTGAAACTGCCTACGGTTCAGGAAAGAATCACCCACAAGGATCAGAGCTAACAGTGCCTGTTCCCAGCAGTGGACTAGAAACCCTCCGTGGTGCGAAATAACAGGCCCCAGGCTGTGCACCACTTCCATCATGCCTAACTCATCTTAAAAACAAGATATGAAAGGATCATAATGTTTCCAGATAACTCAGAACTGCCCAGAACAAAAATCAAAATACTTACAGAAACACAAAAATATCAAACCCCAAAGTAAAATTCAATCCAACCAAAAATTACCATGCAAGCAAAGCAGCAGAGAAATATGATCCATTACAATGAGATACATCAATCAACAGAAACCAATACAGAACGGCATCTGACTAATAAGGACATTAAAATAGTTATCATAACTGTATTCTGTATGTTTTTAAAAGTCAGGTAAGAACAGGAAAACTACAAAAAACCCAAAAAGAACTTCTAAAGGTGAAAACTATAATCTCTGGTATTAGAAATACTTTATGAGTTAACAAGAGAGTAGACATTCTAGAAGACTAGAGAACCAGAAGACACAGTAACAGAAACTTCCAAAAAGAAACATAGAAATGAGAATTGCAACCAGGGTGGAAACTCTGTCAGCTGTGGGACAAGGTCAAGCAGCTCACTGAAGGGTGACAGAAGACACTGTTTCAACACGGTCAGACCCCAGTACAGAAAATCTTCACATGGGAATGAAGAACACCAGAAATCGTAACTAAACAGATAAATATGTAAGCTTTTTCCCTTGCTATAACTTAAATCTTTTTTTAAAAAACCTGACTTTTAATAAGGAACTGTAAAATGCATATTGACAAAAGCACCTGGCCACTATGAGAAACGGGAGTCAACTTTTTAGATGTAGTGCTCTAAGCAAAGAGCTTTGCCATCGCCTGAAGGCAGGCTGTCACCTGAAGCAGCAGAGTGAACTGCTGAGGAAACCCAGCAACACAATGAAACAGAGGAGACAAGACATCCAAAGGAAAGCAGAAAAAGAGAAACGAAAAGAAAGTACTCCTCATGCCCAATCTTGGTTTTGATACCATTCTTAAGTAAAAAGAACCAGGGCTCTATGGAGAAATGGCTGTTTCTAGGATGGGGGGGGGGGG